AATTTTGAAATTTAAAACAAAGGAAAACAACAGGTGGAGAATTGACTGACTAAAACAGTAAAGAAAAATGTCTGCAAGAAGCAGTGTCACAAATGTCGTGACACAAATAACTGTAATTTGCTGCAGCAGAGCTAAATAAAAAACCCTTATGCTTCTACAAGGAAAAAATGCTTTAAAGATCACAAACAGGATAATACTAGGACATTTTCAGTAAATACATCACAAATTTGATCAAAAATTCACTCTCAATACTAAGAATCAAACTAAGTGAGACCAGAATAAAATATCTAAATTGGGCATGGTGGTACACACCTGTAATCCCAGCTCTCTAAGAGGCTGAGACAGGAGGATCGAAAGTCCAAGCCCTTCCTGGGCAACTTAGTGAGACCTTGTCTCAAAAAAAAAGATGAGATGTAGCTCAAGGTGAAGGCCCTGTACAATCCCCAGGAGAGCAAAAAAGAAAAGATTGAGACAGAGAAAAGGAAGGAGGCAGAGGAAGAGGAGAAAGGAGGAAGGAGAGGAAAGGAGAGAAGGAGGAGGAAAAGGGATGGGAGGGAGAAAAGGCTGAGGAAGAGAGAGAGAGAGCTAAAGAGTCAGAGAGAGAGAGACAGGAGAGAGACAGACAGTGACAGCGAGAGAGACACAGAGAGAGGCAGAGACAGAGAGACAGAGACATAAAGACAGAGACAGAGTGCAGAGGATTTAGCTCAGTGGTGCTGCCCTCAATCACAAGTTAGATCCCCGGAACCAAACCAAACAAAACAAAGAAGCAGAGCCATAACAAAAAATTTTAAACAATTTTCCCACAGGATACAAGTTTGTAAATTGGTCATGTAAAAAAAAAATCATATGATATCTTGCATTGAAAAGATAGAACAGGGTCCGGGGATTCAGCTCAGTGGTTCTGGCGCCTGCCTGTCAAGCACAAGGCCCTGAGTTCAATCCCCAGTACCAAAAAAAAAAAAAAGAAAGAAAGAAAGAAAAGATAGACATTTTTAGAAGTAGAAATAATTTAAAACATTTCAGTGTGGAAACTTTTTCAGATGCCTACAAGGAAAAGACTACAACAGATACAGTTATCATGTTTCACTCAATAACATTTATTTGCAACTCCACTCAATTTGCAAGGTGCTTTCATGGTTGTCCAAAGGTATGGTGCAAAACAGCAAAACTTGTTGCAGTTTAGAGCTGCTTTTAATTTAAGTAACACTCCTTTGATGTAATAATAATGAGTTAACATAAGAGTTGATGAATTTACTTAATTGATAAACAAGTTTTGAAACAGATACATTTTTCCTTCAAAGTGAATATTTCTAAAAAAGATGAACCAGCTTTGTATTTAGTGTCTACACTAAGATAACTGTAAAACACATACCAGTTTTAGAAGTGTTCTCACACTGATTACATGGTGAAATGATAGGATACTGGGTTAAAAATTTTTAATTGTTTTACAATTAGTTTCAGCTCCCTCCTCCCAAATGTATTTAGAAGACACAGCTGATGTACAGGTGGACTAGAAAAGCTCTGTCTGTCTCTAGAGACACCTGGGCATCTAAGATTTTACTCGGTCAGAATTAGAGATTAATCTGCCAAACACCAGATGTAGCTTCTTACTGATGGTTTGCAACTGACCTAACTGGTTCAATCAACCTGACTTGACTGTAAGTTTCCACCACGGGGACCTCTACTTTGAGCTTTCCTAGAGTAGATTCCTTCACAGATCTTGGTAGCTCAAGACAAAGTGTGATCTCTTTGTGTAAATAAAAACCTGAGGGAACTTGTGCAAACAATGTTGTTTGGACCTAAAATGCTTACCTATCCTCCCTTTCTTTGCTGTTTTTCTTTTTAATCAGTGCATATTAATTATACAGAGTAGGGGTTTCACTGTGGTGTTTTCAAATATGTATATAACACACCTTAGCCACAACCACTCCATTACCCTCCCTACTCTCCCAACCCCCTCCTACTGGCCCTTTTTGTCTTCTACTAGAATCGAAGTCTGTTTTCATGTTGTCACCCCACCACCACCAAGTGAAAGAAACCATATACTTGTTTTTCTGAATCTGGCTTATTTCGCTTAACATGATGATCTCTAGTTTCATCCATTTTCTTGTAAATGACATATTGTTTTTGGCTGAATAGTACTTCATAGTGTATATGTGCCATGTTTTCTCTAATCATTCATTCATCCATTGATAGGGATCTAAACTCCTTCCATAACTTAGCTTCCATAACAATAGCCATGATAAAAATGGTTATACCGGGGCCGGGGATTTAGCTCAGTGGTTCCACCACCTGCCTTGCAAGTGCAAGGACCTGAGTTCAATCCCCGGTACCAAAAAACGAAAAAAAAACCCCAAAAATGGTTATGCAGGAGTCTCAGCATAACAATATGCATAACAATATGTCGACTTTAATTCCTTTGGGTATATGTAAAGGAGTGGAGCAGTACATGCACACGAGCACACACACACACACACACACACACAGAAGCAAATAAACAACGACCAAAAAACCCCCAATAACACCTAGGAATAAACCTAACCAGAGGGGTAAAAGACTTGAAACTGTATGGAAGAAAGAAATTAAAGAAGATATTAGAAGATAGAAAGACCTCCCACATTCATTGATCAGAGAATTAATACTGTCAAAATGGTCATACTACCAAAAGCAATTCGGACTCAATGTAAACCCATCACGATATCAGTGACATTCTTAACAGAACTAGACCAAAAAAAACTTGTAATTCATATGGAAACACAAAAGACCTAGACTAGCCAAAGCAATCCTAAACAAAAGGAGCAATGCTGGAGGTGGCACATGCCTGTACTGTCAGAACTTGGAAGGGTGAGGCAGGAGGATCACTGTGAGTTCAAGACCAGCCTACATGTGAGTTCAACTCACATCTGAACTACATAGTCTAAACTACATAGCAAGACCTTGTCTCAAAAAACAAAACAAAATAAAAAAATATATTCTACAAATCCATAGTAACAAAAAACAAGTACTGGCATAGAAACAGATATGTAGACCAATGGACTAGAACAGAGAACAGAGAAATAAACCTACACAGCTACAGCCATCTGATTTATGACAAAGGCACCAAAAACATGTATTGGAGAAAAGATAGCCTCTTTAGCAAAAGATGCTAGGAAAACTGGATATCCACATGTAGAAGATTGGTTCTCAAAGAACTAGAATGTCTTCAGCTGATGTAAGATTGGCCTTGAGCATCACAGTATCACAGGACTACTGAGGCCTCAGACAGCCCTAATCATAATTTAATTGTGAAATAATTTTCCCCAAAAATTATGTAGAATGGCTCCTGACAGATCCCTATCTCATCCTGTATGAAAATCAACTCAAAATGCATCAACGACCTAAATATAAGGTCTAAAACTGAAAATGCTAGAAGAAAACATAGGGGAAACACTTCAAGATCTAAGCATTGGCAACAATTTCTTGAATAGGACTCCAGTACCTCAAGAAATAACAGCAAGAATTGACAGATGAGATTGCATCAAATTGAAACAGCTTCTGCATGGTAAAAGAAAAAGAGAATGGGAGAAAATCTTTGCCAGCTATTCATCTAACAGGATTACTACCCAGAACATATAAAGAACTCAAAAAAAGTTAACACCAAAGATATTAAACACCAAAATAACTAAATAATAAATGGGCAATAAACTTCACACAAAATAACTAATCAATAAATGGCAAATGAACTAAACAGACACTTCTCAAAAGTTCAAATGGCCAATAATTATATGAAAAAATGTTCAACATCTTCAGCCATCAGGGAAATGTAAATCAAAACTACTGTACACTGAGATTCTGTCTCACCCTAAGCAAATACAAAACATAATAAATGCTGGGTGAGGCTGCAGGGGAAAAGGAATCTTCTACACTGTTGGTGGGAATGTAAACCAGTATAACCACTAAGAAAATGGAGGGTGCTTAAGAAACTAAAAATAAAACTATCATGTCCTTTATTTTAAATAAAAGTCTTACATCCTGTGGGATTTGGTAAGACTTTTCAAATATTATAAGTAGGGAAATCTTAACAACATGGCTACTAAAAATTTCAAATTATGAATAAGCCTCAAATTAGTCCTATTAAGTAACATTACTTTTAAACTGAGCCATGCTCTTTCCTTTCCATAAACAGAAGAAACTCGGAATTGGATGACTACATGAAGAAATCACCAAACACCACACAGGACTTCCATTCCCTTAGATAAGCCTGATTAAACTTTGTATGCTGATACTTAAAAAATGAAACTGAAAATTTTTGCCTTATCATGGACCTTGAGTTCATCCTTGGAATATTAAGTTTCTGACAGAATTCAAAATAAATTCAGATGGCTCATTGCACTCACCTGGACTTGCCAGCTGGCAATTAGCATACTAATAGTGGGGATGTTTGGGGAATCAGATCACAAGTACCAGTGTTTCCGATGACAAATGGGTTTATGACTGGAAACTGAGGAGTGGTCAGGGAGAATGAGGACAGTATTGGGTCCACTTCATGCGACAGGAAGCAGGAGTGGACAGAAAGGGAGAAGAAATGCAGGAGCAAAACAAGTCAAAAAAAGAGATCAAACGAGTGTGCTCTCAGAAGTCAAGGCGGAGAGAAAGTGAGGAAGACAAAGTTGATTAACAGTGACAAATGCTATTAAAGGCATGAAAGTGGATGGAAACTAACACAACCCTCTGGATTTTACAAAAGTGTTTATAAGAGCCTTTAAAACAGGGTTCCAGAAGACCACTGGTGCTGTGCTAAACCACACCAGAAGTGTCACAGAAGGCAGATCATGAAAATAACAATGAATGAGTGCTATAAACCTGGCAAAATAAAGGGAACACAGGCTTCAGGGCAGAGAGGAGAGATGGAGAGACCAATGCACGCTTCTGAGTCCCACTCATATGGCAGGCTTTTCCAGTGTTTTAAAAAACACTCCCTCAGCAATGAGAAGCTCAAAAACCACCAGCCACCTTACCTGAGAAAGGTACAAAAGCATGTCGCATGCTCACTGAAAATGGCATCCCTCTGTCTGAGGTTTTCTCCATCTGTGCCTGGCGCCCAGGGTTCCGGACCCAACCCTTCTTATTTTGTCCTCTGTGATACAAACAACACTATCAGCAAGACATGAAGCATCTGATATATGTTAAATACTCTATCTGATTGTCACAGTGCGGTCAATATTTCCTTCTAAGAAGCATAAAAACAATCTGAAACTTGCTTTAGAGTGTAATAAAGATACTAGACCTCTTTTAGCAACTGTTCAATTAAACTTTACTGTAATCACCTTTCCCATACTCTGCTTCTGAGACAATTCACTGTCATGTAACTCAACAAATTTCTTCGACCAGATCCCACACAAATGATCTGTGCTATTTCTTCCCATCATGTGAGTATGATAGGACAGGCGGGTGGGCAGAAGGGGTGCTGCTGGCATTGCTAGCCCATCCCTTCACTATTTAATTTAAACAAGCCTATAGTGCTGGTTGATTTGATCAGTAGCCTAGGTTTTCAGCCTTCCAATACCCTCTAGCTTCATTAGAGGCAGACTCAGGTCTTGAAATAGGTACTGCCTACAACAGAAATGGGTATGTCTGGAACATAAACTCACATCATTACTTTGTATAGTAGGCTATTTTCAAGCCATTCTTACTCTCAAAAGTTTATTAATACCCAGATAGAGAAACAGACTTACCTGCCCATGGGTAGCAGGCCTTTGCCTAGGGCTCGAGAAGGGGGACTCTCTTCTACAAAAGTTGGCATTTTGATTTCAAAATCTCTTGGCACATTCTGAATATTTGGTTCTGTAAAGGTTATTCGTCCTAAAATCAAGCAGAATAAAGACATGAAATTAGAAAACAAAACTGACGTTTCTTCCAACATCATTTGAATTTCTGAATTTTCTTTAAAAATGTATGCTCTATCAATGCTAAACTAAATTTACATTTTTTCAGTATGTTCATATGCCTAGCAATAATAAAATAAGTACAAGACCATCCGAAAATAAATGAATCAGCTACAATACCATGTTCTACATTAACCTAGCTCTCTAGAAAACAATTCCGTAAGAAGCAAGTTGATGAGTTAAATTATTCCTATGCTAGAATGAGTACCAGACATCAGCACTATGACAGGCAAGCAGTCATATAAAGGCATAAAGATGAATTGAGGGGGCCTGAGGGGAGGTGACTGTGGGAGCATGCAAAGCCGGGAGTCACAAGACAGGAAGCAGTGTCCGGAGCAGAAGGCCAGCTGGACGATGACAAGAACAACTGGGACCAAAGAAGTTTACTACTGCAGCAGGTGGAGAGGCAGAGACTGGACCTCACTTTCAAACATGGCCTGGCTGGGTTCTTTCACCAGCATTGAAGAGAATCAATAACAGTATTGGCATGACCAGAAACTAGAAACAGGAGAATTTTCTAGTAGACAGAAAGGTACCACACCACCACCACCATTGTTCAAAATATTTTACATTTAGCTTTTCACTCAAAGTGTGTAACTATTCTGCAAAACAAATTTGGGTCTTTAGTTTTGTTGCTGTTATTTTTATAACATATGTTCCAACACTAAAATCCTGTTTCATGACATCCTCTTAACCGTAACAGCTCTCCAGGAGCTGTTGTACACAATTTCAACTTTGTCTGAGGAATTAGGTATCTTAAGTGCCTTGGACATTGTTTTTCTGAATACACTCATGATTTCACTACCTTATTTAGCTTTTAGCACATCATAAGTACTCAGTTAATGGTAACATTTTATATAATTATTAGCATCAAACAGCCTGCTCAATATTCAAAACTAACAACAGAGGAAGCCATCCAAGGCTCTTGCTACTTCAGCACACTTCCCCATGATAACATGTAATATTCAGCACCCTGCCTTGGCCTTTTATTGAATTAATGAGGTAAAACTGGCAGACAAAAAAAGATAGTAAAATGGGAAGTGGATCAAGAGATAAAGGAGCAAAGAGAGGAAAGGAAAGGGAACATAAAAATAATTAAGATGTGGTATATACATGTACCAGCTCCTCAGGATGACTATAATCATTATGAATTGCAAACATGAATTAATAAAAATAAATTTTTAAAATTTGCCATCTTTTTAAAAAGTTGGTAGAAATAAATTACAAAGCCTGAATATGATAATGAAATAATGGAAATGAATTTGTCATTAAAATTAAATCCTCAGCTTTGCTTTGCTTAGAAAGTGTGTATGTCTAAAATATTAGAGTATATTACTATAAAAATTATAGAACATTATTAAACATTTAAACTAGTATATTTCTAAAATAAATAATAAAAATAGACTTAATTGCCCCCTACTTTATAGGCCAACAAATGAATGTGTAACACCTTTTAAAACTCTGGGCTGATTCTGGTTTATCAAAAAGTATTTTATATAAATTTATGGCATTAGCAGATATTCCAAAGTGAAGCATAACATCAATAGGGAAACAAATGCCTAGGAAGGACCAAGAGGTTAGCTGAATAGTGATGAAGGCAAAGAGAGAGTTGTTTAGAACAAGGATAAAACAAGCAGAGAAAAAGCAGCTCATCACACTGCCTCTATTCTTAATAACATGGTAACTGAAGATACACAAAGCAAAATAAGCCAGACACAGAAAGCCAAGACCATATACGTTCTCTCATATGTGGAAGTTAAGAAATAAAACAAAAAGACAACTAGAACACATAACAGTGACCAACTAGGGAAGGAGCTCCGTGGTGGACCACTTGCCTAGTATGTACAAGCCTAATAGTGATTATTCGAGACTGGGAAAGGATAGTGGATAAAAAAGGAAGCTGGATTTGTTTAATGCATGCTGTATGTATGCATTCAATATCGCACTAAAAGCCATCAGTATGTACAATTAATACAGTTAGTAAAAATAGAAATTGAAAAATGTACAAGTGCTGACAGTAGGATTAGAGATTTTTGTAGCAGGATTAGAGATTTTGTTTTTATTTTTGTTTGTTTTTTTCTGTACTAAGGATTCAATCCAGGACCTTTGCACTGAGCTACACTTCCAGCCTATTTTTTACTTTTCATTTTGAGACAAGTTTTCACTAAATTGCCCAGGTTGGTCTTGAACTTATGACCCACCTGCTTCAGCCTCCTAGAGTTCTAGGATTATAGGCATATAACACCACATGCAGTTTAGTGATTTCTTTTGTTTTATATAAGGTTGCATATTTTAAGCTGGGTGTGGTGGCCCATGCCTGTAATCCCAGAACTTGAGAGGCTGAGGCAGGAGGATTGCCCCAAGTTCAAGGTCAGCCTAAACTCATAGCAAGAGCCTATCTCAACAACCTCACCCCCAAAATGACTGTACATTTTAAAAACATTTATAATTACATCAAATAGACTTCCAGGAAGATGGTGGAGTGGTGAACAGCAGAGAAACAGCCTCTCCAAGATTTCATGTCCAGATGCTGGAATATAGCAACATGAGGAAAAAAGCAGGAAAGTGGGTTTCCAGTACCTAGCAAGGATCTGAAACAAGAATTGAAACCCACGGGGAAAGCAAAGAGAGAGACTTCACAGAAGAAGGAGAGATGGCAAGCAGCACTTTCTTTGAGGCCTGACTGTGTGGGAGGGGCAACATGAACCTGCAGATGCACAGTAAATACTGGCAACCCCAGGGGCCTTCACAGAGAAATGCACCAGTGGAACAGAGCCATGGACAGAGAGGACTGCAGTGCCTGGTGAGTTCTTTGGGTTCAGATGCCCCCAGGTGAGGGCAATTGGCTGGTAGCCATCTTAGAGAGGGCCCAACTGAGCTCGGAGCTCAGAGCAGCTGCAGGCTGGCTCCATCTAGTGGCTCCCAGTGTCAGGGTGAGGCAGAACCAAGTTCAACTTGGCAGGAGGTCAAGGAGCTGAGGTCAAGCCAGCAGAGCCCAGTTCAAGCTGGCAGGAGGCACATGGAGTGTTACAGGCTGAAAATATTGGGTTCCAGCCTCATAGCCAGAAACCACCCTAAACATCAGTGGAACTAAAGGTGCAGCCTTGCTGGGATTATCAACTACCCTGCCATAAATCTACAGCTGGCTTGCTAGGATTAATCAACACAGATCTGGGCTGTCTGCTCACACTGTCTACCAGAGACAGGCTCTGAGGTGGATATTTTTTTTCTATTTTATTCCAATTTTTTGTGTGCTTGTTTGTTCTTGTTTTTATGAGTGTCAACACTGTCTCTCTTTGTTGTTGTGGTTGTTCTGCCTTGTTTGTGTTTTCATTTCTTCCTTCTCTCTTTCCTCTCCTCCCTTCTTCACCAGTTTCCCACAGTTTCCGTAATCTTCTTTCATCTTCTAGCCTTACCTCTAATCACTCCCTCTTCTTCTAGTTCTCTATTTTCCCCGATTCCTTTGAAATTTTCTCCCCTGAGGGTAAAATCACCATATTGAGGGTATATTTACTGTATAAAATTTTCTGGTTTTAGATTTTGTTATATAATCACAAATATAGTTCATACAGTTAAATGTGACAATTTAATAGTTACCACAGTTTGTCATTTTCTAGGCTGTTTGATGCTATTGTTATTAATGATGTTACTACTTTATCCAAGGTGACATAGTGTTCTAATCAGTTGTCCTTGTATGGCAAGACTGAGACTGCCTGAGGGCCATAAAAACTATGGGTTATGATGAGCCTGACACACAAACAGCTTGGGTTATGACCAGAATTTTAGTTTTAATTTATAAAAAAAGTCTTGAGTTACAGCCCGAATGTTGGCCATCTGCACTTCCAGATGATCTCAGATACAGATTTAACCCTTAAAGAGTTCTGGAAGGAACATTACAACATGCTTCCTGAGTGGGGTTAACTGAGAAATCTTGGGCCACTATCTCTCTGAGGACACTGAGATCTGCCTGTATATAGGGGAGAGACTTTGAAAGCTATGCAGAGAAGTCTGAGCCTTCAATTGACCAACTTGAGTTATAGCCAGCCCTCATGAATGAAGTGAGTTCATAAGTGAAGAGTCCACTGTACAAGAAACACATTTAATTCAAACATAAATTCATAGACTGAAAGTCAAAGGATGGAAAACAATACTCCATGCAACAGGAACCTGGAAAAAAACAGGGGCAACTATTCTATTTGCAGGTTAAGTGGATTTCAAGCCAAGACTGATTAAGAGAGACAAAGAAGGTCACTACATCTTTGTAAAGGGAACAATCCAAGAGAAAGAGATAACAATCATAACTATATATGCCCTAAATACCAGTGCAGCCAACTATATAAAACAAATATTAATAGACAAGAAAAATCAAATAACCACTAATACAATTTTAATGGGGGACCTCAATACCCCACTGTAACAAATAGACAAATTAACTAGACAAAAAAAAAAAAATCAACCAACAAATATCACAACTGAACCAAGCTTTTGAACAAATAAATTTACTAGATGTCTATAGAGTATTCCAACCCACAACATCAGAATACACATTCTTCTCAGCTGCACATGGGACGTTCTCCAAAACAGATCACAAGCTAGCTCATACAACATGCTTAAATAAATGCAAAGGAAATGAAATTATCCCATGCATTGCACCATAGTGCAATGAAATTAGAAATCAATAGCAAAAGAAACCGCAAGAACTTCATAAACACATGGAAATTAAATAATATCCTCCTGAATAACCAATGGTTCACAGATAAAACTAAGGAAGAAATTAGTTTCTACAATTAAAATGCCAATACAACATACTGGACCTTATGGGACTCAATGAAAGCAGTCCTATAAGGCAAATTTATAGCAGTAAACATCCATATCAGGAAAACAGAGCAGGTTCAAATAAACAACCTAATATTAAACCTCAAGCTTCTTGAAAAAGAAGAGCAAATCAAGCCCAAAGCTCATATGAGAAAGAAATTACAAAGATCAGAGCAGAAATTAATGCAATTGAAACAAAGAAAACAATACAAAGAATCAATGAATCAAAGAGTTGGTTTTTTTAAAGAATAAATAAAATTGACAAACCCTTAGCCAACTTTATCAAAAAAAGGAAAGACTCAAATCCATCCAATTAGGAATGAAATCGCAACAAATCCTTCAGAAATCCAGAAGATTATTAATACCTATTTCAAGAACCTATATTCAACGGAAAATACAGAAGAATTGGACAGATCCCTAGATACATGAGTTACCAAAGCTGAATCAAGAAGATATAAAAATTTAAAATAAACCACTATCAGTCAAAGAAATTAAAGATGTAATTAAAAGCCTACCAACAAAGAAAAGCCCAGGCCCTGATGTATTCACTGCTGAGTTTTACAAGAAATTCAGAGAAGACCTAATGCTGCTACTCCTCAAACTCTTTAATGAAATTGAAAGGGAAGTAATACTCCCAAATTCATTCTTGAAAAGAAGTATTACTCTGATATCAAAACCAGAAAAATATCTAACCAAAAAGTAGAACTAGAGGCTAATCTCTATAATGAACACAGATGCAAAACTCCTCAATAAGATACTGGCAAACAGAAAGCAGCAAATCATCAAGAAGGTTATATACCATGACCAAGTAGGATTCATCCCAGGGATGCAAGGGTGGTTCAACATGCACAAATCAATAAATGTAGCACACCATATTAACGGAGCCAAGGACAAAAATCATATGATCATCTCAAAAGATGCAGAAAAAGCATTTGTCAAGGTCCAACACCCATTCATAAAAACCCTACAGAAAATTGGAATAAATGGTCTTTATCTCAATCTGATAAAAGACTTGAATGACAAACCAACAGCCAACATCATACTAAATGGGGAAAACCTTAAAACTCTCTCTCTCTAAAATCAGGAACAAGATAAGTATATCCATGTCACCATTCTTAGTCAATATAGTTTTGAAAACATTTGGCCTCAGCAACTAGACAAGAGAAAGAAATACAAGGAATAAGGATAGGAAAGGAAGAAGTTAAATTATTGTTATCTGCAGATGACATGATGCTCTACTTAGAAGACCCAAAAAAATCCACCAAGATTTCATAACCAAATTCAGTAGCATAGCTGGATACAAAGTCAGCACTCAAAAATCAATAGCCTTCCTATACATGAATAAAAAACTCACTGAGAGACAAGTTAAGGAAACAATACCTTTCACAACAGCACCCAAAAAACTTAAATACCTAGGAATCAATCTAACAAAAGAAGTAAAAGACCTTTATATGAAAAACTACAGTACTCTGAAAAAGGAGATGAAAGAAGGTATCAAAAAATGGAAGGATATCCCTTGTTCTTGGGTAGCAAGAACCAATATAGTGAAAATGGCCATACTTCCACAATTGTTATAAAGATTTAATCCAATTCTGATCAAAATTCCAATAGCATATCTCTCAGAATTAGAGAAAGCAATCCTAAAATTTATTTGGAACCAGAAGAGACCTAGAATAGCAAAGGCAATTCTGAGCAACAAAGGCAAGACTGGGACACCACAATCTCTGACTTTAAATTATACTACAAAACTACTATGATTAAAACAGCATGGTACTGCCAAAAACAAAACAGACCTGAGGATCAATGAAATGATTAAAAGATGCAAAAACAATTTCAGACACACTCAGCCACCTTATGTTTGACAAAGGAGCCAAATACCTTCACTGGAAGAAAGATAACCTCTTTAATAAACAGTTCTGGAAAAACTGGCTTTCTACATGCTGAAGATCAAAACTAGACCTGTCCCTTTCACCATGCACTAAGCTAAAATCAAAATGGATCAAAGATCTAAATATTAAAACGGAAACAATCTGCTGGAAGACAGAATAGGTAGAACTCTCAAAGACATTGGTGTAGCCAAAGACTTTATGAACAAAACCCTGATTGCACAGGAACTATCATTACAAAGAATCAACAACTGGAATCTCATCTTATTAAAAAGCTTTTGCACAGCAAGAGAAACCACCAACAGAGTAAAGAGACAACCCCAGTGTGGGAAAAACTTCTCCCAACTGTTCTTCAAACAAAAGACTAACATGTAGAATATATAAAGAACTCAAGAAAATCAGACCCCCAAATATAAAGACCCAATCCAAAAATGGGTGCCTGAAATGAACAGGCACTTCTCAGATGAAGAGGTAGAAACAGCAAATAAATATATGAAAAATGTTCAACATCACTCATTAGAGAGATGCAAATTAAAACAAGGCTGAGATTCCATCTCACTCCAGATAACCACCAATAACAAATGCTGGCAAGGCTGGGGGGGAAAAGGAACCCTTCTCCACTGTTAGTAGGAGTATAGACTGGTACAACCACTGGTGTGGAGATTCCTCAAAAATCTAAAACTAGAGGTTCCATTTGACCCAACTATTACCCTTCTTGGTATCTTCCCAAAGAATTAAATCCATCCTACCACAGTGCTATATGCACACCCATGCTTATAGCAGCACAATTTGTAATAGCTAAATCTTGGAAACAGTCCAAATGCCCATCAATCAATGAATGGATAAAGAAGACATGTTTTGTTTTTGTTTTTGTTTTTTTTGTACCGGGGATCGAACTTGGGTCCTTGCACTTGCGCAGCAGGTGGCAGAACCACAGAGCTAAATCCCCGGCCCCAACATGTTTTTTTTTTTTACACAATGGAGTACTACTCTGACACAAAGAAGGATGAGCTTGAGATATTTATAGCTACATGGATGCACCTTGAGACCATACTCTTAAGTGAAATAAATTAGACACACATGTGTACTGCATTGTTTCTCTGATGTGAGAATCCGAAAGTGGAAATAAAGACTAAAATGTATAATAGATATTGAGAAATGGGAAGAAAATGTTCATATGAGAAGGGAAACAAAGGACGGGGGGAAGGAGAAAGGAAAGGAAGGACAAGAAAAAAAGAAAATAGAGGCAAAAAATGGAAACAAAACTTTTGCCTATAAGGAGGGGAAGAGGAGTGGGGGCGGGGAATCGGAAAAAAAGAAGAATCAAGAAATATTATGTACAGGAACAAACTCCCTACGATGAATGTTATTATGTATATCTAAAATGTACCAATAAAAATTTAAAAAATAATTACATCAAATAAAAATAATGTGGCAATGTGAATAAAATAACACAGCAACTGATATAAGCACTTTCTAGGAGCTATTCATTTGGTGCATACTGACCTGCTCAACACTCAGAATGACCAGGTGAAGCAGGACTATTACTTGCTTTTATACAGAGAAAACTTAGACACTGAAAATTTACGTTTTGTCTAAAGTTTCACAGTACCAGGATTCAAATCTTGATTCTTGGTTTCAAACCCTATACTCTATACAACCAATCCACACTGCCTCCTCTATCAATAAGTTAAAACTGTCCTGGGGCCAAGGATTTAGCTCAGTGGTTCCAGTGCCTGCCTCACAAGTGCAAGGATCCAAGTTCGATCCCCGGTACCAAAAAAAAAAAACAAAAAAAAACTGTCCTTTCTTCCACTACGTATCATATTTCGCCTGTATTTAGAGTGGTGCACACCACCTAGAGCAAGAATACTGCTTTCTTCATCAGATTACACTCATACCTATCTCAAGAGGGCCATGAGACACCCAAGAGCTTTGTTTCCTGCTTAGGTAAACTGAGACACTTATCATACAGATGTCCCCGAAGCCTACTGAGATGCAACTGGGAGAGAATCTAGGAGGGTCAGGAAAGAGCTGGAACTGAAGTTGGATAAAATCACGGACTCAAATAGTGCATTCTTGTCTATATTCTCATGCAAAATGCAGTGTCAGGCATCCAGTTACCCTGTACAAGCCCTTAAAAACAGGAACTGTACCTTACTAAAACTCATCTTCATATCTAGCTGGTTCCTAGCTATGCTTTGGGTGTAATTATGAGTTTTATAAATGTAGAACTTCACGGAACCCAACAAAAACCTTAAACTCCTTGGCCATCATAAACAAATGTTATATATGAACATCTTTTCCTTTCAAAATTGGACATTATTCATATTTAACACTTCTCATCACCTGTAGCCGTGTGTGATTGTGACACAGGATAGATTCTTTCCATTCTAAGAAAAGGATGCAGACGCTTTTCCCGCTGCAGGGGAAAGATCACTTTGGTAATAGCATTTGTGATTCTTCTCCATTCTAGTATCAAGCCTGGTAAAGGATGCAATGCCTTTAATTTATTTAAAACATCCTGCCAAAGAAATATAATAAAATAAGATTGGACTATCCAAATTCTGTGGCAAACTAGAATCTTTTAGGTAAAAAATACAGTCTCAAAATTAAATTTGATAATTGCTATACCCACAAATCAAAATCACTATTTAGGTTTTTTAGAAATTAACATAAAAGTATGATTGGTACAGTTTATGAAATGCAAATGTGGTGATGCTGAGTACTATCGATTCAGAACCAGCTTTTTAAAATCAACGACACAATAGTTTAATGAAATAACTGTCTCCTGCACCCTATCAAGAATTTACATCATCTCTTTTCTTTACGCATTTCCTCCTCCACTCCTTTTCATGATTACAAGTATTTCCTTCTTGCCCTGGTACTTACATGGTTCCATATTGAAGAAATTAGGAGACACTTGTCTTTAGAAATTTCACATTTCTATGCTATGGAGTTTTAAGGAACCATTATGGAATAGGAACTAGTAGGGTGAAAGAGTCAGAGAGACCGAGGAAAAGCTGAGCTGGAGAACAGGGCTGGGGAAACTCTCCAGGGGAAGATAAGTTACAGCTCATGGTTTAAGGATCAAAATTCTACAGAAGAGCAGCTCTCTACTGTTGATGTGGCTACATTTTGTTTCCTTATTTTTCTATTGAAACTTCAATAAAAATGAGAAATTAAGCTCCATCTTCTCTCCGACTACTGCATACTGTTTTCATGGATTGTCAATAGCAAATTTCCTTTGAAAATAGATTAGATTCTTGTTTTGTTTTGTTTTTTTGGTACTGGGGATCGAACTCGGGACCTTGCGCTTGCAAGGCAGGCACCAGAACCACTGAGCTAAATCCCCAGCCCCAGATTAGATTATTAATAAATTCATGGAAAATTTATTATTTTCCCCGGAACTGAAAAAAAAGTATTCTTTCCTCTATACCATTCTCCATATCCATGTAACTATACAAATTGTATTATACTAGAAGATCAGAAGTAGTGGTTGGCAATTAAATAATGTTTATAGGTGTGAGTACATAAGACTTTATACTGTTTTACTGATAAGAAAAACACAACTGCTGGCTCAGATTATGGTCCTGATTTTTCACGCCAAAATTTTGTGGGCTTCTGAACCACAAACCATTTTGTCTGCTTGTAAATGAATAAGTTGACATGGTGGGCTATGTCAGATCTTGATTTCATTGGCATTCTTTTGAGACATTAAAATGCTAAATGTACTTAAGATTTTGCCCTGTAACTGCCCCCAAAAGCACCTTGCTAGTGCTGAATCGTCTCCCCAGCCTCTGCTTGTGCATCTGTTCATTCCCTCTTCTGGTAGAACCTAAGGTTTTCTTGCTACCTTGGACTTTCATGTCTCCATCTGGTGGCAACTTCAATTCCAAAAACAGAACCTGCAAGAAATTAATGCTTCTTTATTCAAGAATCAAATTGCAAGTACCATCATTTAGAAAATATTTTTTAAAAGTTATTTGAAGAAACTATCTCTACAGTTTAACATAATATTTCTTTGGCCAATTTGAAATTATTAGTCTCAATAAATGATGGCAATGAAAACATACGTGTCAGGTTAAGCTATCCCTACCCTAAATTGGGCACTATTAGATAATACTAACCGCTTTTCAACAAGAACATGAATGTGTATACACTGTGCTGAGCAACTGGCAAATAAGTTACTGACATTGAGACTTGAGGATGCTCTGAGGATTATGTGCCCTCCTCAATGCCTCTTAAAATGATAAGCAGCATGGCTGCTCAAACATTTAGCTCCCCATCGAAGGTCAACACAGGTGTGTCCACCCTGTGATTACAAAATCACATGACACCATAAGGGAGAGTCTAAAAGCTCTCATGTTCCCCTACCACAATGCTGAACATAGAAGTCCATAGGCACAGAAAGTTAGGAGGAGGTGCCAATCCATTGTGGCCATAATGAAGGTTAGAGAGTGGCAGGTAAGCATGCACCGAAGAAGCCAGGCCTCCATAGGGGGTCAATCAGACTCTGGGGCAGAGAGAAGATCCCATGTGAACCTAATCCTAAGGCAAATTAGGGGGGTCACACCCCAGGCATTTCAGAACATTATTTACTATGCCTATTCTTTCAATTATAGACCCTGAATAGGTTTTAATGAACCTTGAATTATTTCCCAAGTATTAATTCTGAAAATTAATATCATTTGCATGATTACAAGAATTTTTTTTCCCACAAGGTGGACCGGAGCACAGGCAAAGCTAAGCCTGTGCCTCCTCAGGATGGTAGTGATGACAGAAAGATCTGATTCCAGTTTATAGTAGTGGTGGCAACAACCACGGTCTTGGGAGTGAAAGATATTACACATTAAGAATTACTATGGAGGGCCGGGGATTTAGCTCAGTGGTTCCAGCACCTGCTTCGCAAGCGCAAGGGCCCGAGTTCGATTCCCGGTACCAAAAAAAAAAAAAAAAGAATTACTATGGATATTGGTAAATATTTAGCCCTAGAATTGTGTTATATAAATATGAATACACGCACACACAGGGATTAGCGCTGGCACATGTAACAAATAAAATTGCAGGATGCCTAGTTATGTTTTAAATAGCATGAGGCATACTTACACTGAAGTATTATTTGTTGTTTATCTGAAATTGAAATGTCAGGAAATCTTAGCATAGATATCAAAGGTGTATGAATGGCAGGATAGAAGGAAAAAATGAAATAATTGACTAGGGAAAATGGAACAATATTAAAGTAATAATAAAGCAATAATTCCAAGAAGGGAGACTTACGAGTAAGACAACACAAACATCTCAAGTTACTATTTAGAAGACTTTTTAAATATACAAAAAGGCCTTAGGGACTCCATAAGTTTCCTAGGCTGGGCTTGAACTTGCAATTCTCCTATCGCAGACTCCCAGAGTTTATTCAGAACTTTTAGGTCTTGATGTTAAAATGGAAGTTACCTGGAGAGGTAATTTCAATATAAAATTTTTATTTTTTTAAAGAACAAGTTTTCTACAGAATTACGTATACAAAATATCTCTCCAAGTAACTTTCATTTTAACATGAAGACCTAAGAAGAAGCTAGAAACATCAAAGGCCACTTGCTTTAGCCTAGAGTTTGGTCCGGCCTGTGGTTCATGGAATCACAAGGGCACAAATTCCAGTGCTGGGCTAACCTTGCTTGTGCTGAAACCCAGAGATTCTGTATTTTTGATGTTTCCTATGTACATTCATGTGCAATCTGCTAAATGTTCACTTGAAGCCTTCTGGGCTAAAAATTTCAAAAGAGAATACACTGAGCTGGGCATGGTAATGCATACTTGTAATCCCAGCACTTGGAAGGCTGAGACAGGAGGACTGCCATGAGTTCAAGGCCAGCCTGAGATACATAGTAAGTTCAAGGCCAGCCTGAACTACATATTGCGACCCTGTCTCAGAAAAAAAAAAAAAAAATACACATACAGCATTACTAAATTCCACTCAACTCATCAATATACCACATGATTAAAGGAAATAAGGTTCATTGTTTTCAACAAAAAATGTAACTATAGTTTAAAAATGGGCATGTCCTGTGTACTTACTAAGTGACAGACTCTATTCTATGCATTTTACATTTCTCATTCACACCTCAAACAACCCTATGAGGTATTTCTATTGTAAACATCACTTTACTGATAAAGAAACTAAGTCACAAAGTGTTGCTGCACTGGCCCGAAGTCATGACCTGGATCCTAAGTGGAGGAGGCAGGACCAATACCACTCAGACCTGCTTGGAACACTGTGACCCTTCCCACAGGCCACGGCACTGACTCAGCTGGAAGACAAGGAGCAAAGACGCTAGCAAGTGCACCTGACACCTTTCTAAAACCACCCACCCGCCCTCTGCAGGAAAGAGTAGATGAGAGAAAAGACTGCAGTACCAACCCGTGAAAATAAAATAAGGATATATGTTGTCGAGGTTTATATAGGTGACAGAAAATTAGGTTTAAAAAAGGAGTCACAAATACTCAGTTTTTGTTTGCACCTCAGAAAAATATCGAATTTCCTACCCTGAACAAAGATGTTGGCTGGGGCCAGGGAGGGGTGATTTGTGAAAGGACTAATTGTATGGAAGCACAGCTACCTTGTCATGGGACTGCAACTAATTATTTGTTCAACAAAGCGATGAGCCATAAATGTATAGTGAATGTTTAAGTATAAGAACTATTATGGTAAAAGAAAAATTGCCACTAATCTCCCTCAAAAACTCCTTCTTGCTTTGAACACACCCATTGGTCTATACACTTTTTTATTCAGTCTTAAATAAATTTTTATTCATTCATGTTTGCAGTACATGATTACATTCACCATGGGAAGTTGGTACATGTACATAACACATCTTAATTGTTTTTGTTTCCTCTTCTCTTCCCTGTCCTCCATCTCTTGGTGCTCTTCCCACCTGCAAAAGATCTATCTCCCTGATTCCTGTTTTCAATGTTTTGTTTTGCTCTTTATTTATACTTTGGGTTTCTCATATAAGAGAAACTATGCGATATTAAAGATTGTGTCAGAATTATTTCACTTTACATTATCATATCAAGGTGGATCCATTTTCCTAAAATGAATCAAATTTATTCTTCCTTGTGGCAGAGTAGTACTCCATTCTGTATAAATACATTTTCTTTATCCATTCATCTGTTTATAAACATAGGCTGCTTCCAAGATTTTGCTATTAGTTGTGCTGCTATAAACTTAGGTATGCATGTACCACTGTAATATGTCTTTTACTCTTTGGGGAGGATGCCTAGAAGGGTGAAACCTAGGTCAAAAGGAATTTCTATTTTCACTTTTTGAGAAATTGCCACATTCCCACCAACAACGTACAAATTCCCATTTTTCCCCATGGCCTCCCCAGCATTTATTTGATTTCTTGATGATAGCCATGAAACTCATGAAGTCTCAAGAGTTGTTTTAATTTCCATTTCTCTAGTGGCTAAAGGTGTTTAGCCTTTATTTATTGACCATTTGTACTTCTTCCAAAAAATGTCTATTCATTTCAGGTGTCCATTTCTTGAAAGGTCTTTTTGGGGGGTGGGCCTAATTTTTTTGAGTTCTTTATATATTCTAGATATTAGTATTCTGTCCAAGGAGTAGCTAGCACAAATTTTTTTCTCATCCTGTGTCTCTTCACTGTTATTTCCTTTAGTATTTCTAATTTGATCCCATTTATTCTTGACATTATTTCTTGTACAAATAGGATTCTGCTCAGAAAGTCCTTGCCTTTGTCTTCAAGAGTTTCATCTATTTATCTTCCAGCAGATTAAGTGTTTCTGTTTTAATACCTAGATCTTTGATCTATTTTTAGTTTAGTGTATGGTGAGAGATATGGGTCCAGTTTCAATCCTCTGCATATGTATAGCCAGTTTTCCCAGCACCATTTGTTAAAGAGGCCATCTTTCCTCCAACATATGTTTTTGTCCCCTCTGTCAAAGATCAGATAGCTGAATGTGTCTAGGGTTTTTTCTGCATTCTCTACTCTATTTTGTTGGCATTTTTTGTGCTAGTACCATGCTGTTTTATCACTGTAGCTTTGTGATATAATGTGAAATATAGGATTGTGGTGCCTCCTAATTTGTTCCATTATCCAGGATTGCTTTTGCTATTCTGGATCTCTTCTGGTTTGATATGATTGTTTTCTCCTGTTCTGTGAGGAATACTGCTGGTATTTTGATTGCAATTGCACTAAATCTATATATCAGTTTGGCTTCTATGGCCATTTTTACAATACTTGTTATGGCTATCCAGGAACATTTTCTGATGTCTTCTTCAAGCTCCTTTTCCAGATTATTATACTTTTTATGATAGAGGTCTTTCACTTCTTTTGTTAATTACAAAGTATTTAATTTTTCTTGAAGCTATTTTGAGTGGTATTGTTTTCCTAATTTCTTCTTCAACAGGTTCATTATTGATGTACAGAAACGCTATTGTGTTAGTTTTGTGTCCTACTGCCCTGCTGAATTTTCTCATTAGTTCTAGGAGGCCTCTGGTTGAACTTTTTAGGTCTTCCATGCAGAGGATCATGTCATCTGGGTATAAGGAGAGTTTGACTTCTTCATTTCCTGTATGTATTCCTATTATTTCTTCCTCTTGCCTGACTGCTCTGGCTAAAGTTTCAAGAACTGTATTGAACAGGAGTGGTAACAGGGGACATCTTTGTCTTGTTCCTGATTTTAGGGGGAAAACTTTGTTTTCCCATTTAATATGATGTTGGAAGTAGGTTTTTAACAAATCTGGGATGAATCCTACTTGGTCATGATATATGATCTTTTTGATGATTTGTTGAATTCTGTTTGCCAGTATCTTATTGAGGATGTTTATATATATGTTTGTTAAAGAGACTGGCTTGTAGTTTTCTTTTTCAGTTGAGTCCTTATACAGTTTTGGAATCAAGGTAATACTAGCTTCCAGGAGTGAGTTTGGCAGTACTCCTTCCCTTTCATTTTGACTAAAGAATTTAAGGAGTACTGACATTACATCTTCTCCGAAATTCTTATATAATTCTGCAGTGAATCTATCAGGTCCTAGGTTTTTCTTAGTTGGTAGGTTTTTTATTACTGCCTCAGTTTCATTTCTCATTATTGGATTATTTGGGGAGTTTTAAATCTCCTTGGTTCAATTTTATCAGTTCATATATATCTAGGAATCTGTCCATTTCTTCTGCATTCCGCAATTTACTAGAGTATAGGTTTTTGAGGAGTTACTACTAATAATCTTTTCGATTTCAGCAGTGTCCATTGTGATTTCTTTTTTTTGTGATTTCTAATTGATTTGGGTATTTTCTGTCCTTCTTTATGTAAGATTGGCCAAGGATTTGTCTATTTTGTTTGTTCTTTCAAAGAACCAGCTCTTTGATTCTTTGTATTTATCATTTCCTTCCTTGTACTAGCTTTGGAGTTGGATTGTTCTTGTTTTGCTAAGTCCATGAGGTATATCATTAGGTTAGTAATTTATTTGGCTCTTTTTCTGATGCAGGCATTCAGATATAAACTTCTGTCTTAGGACTGCTTTCAACAAGTTCTAGCCACCTGCCTCGCAAGTGCAAGGTCCCAAGTTTGATCCCCGGTACAAAAAAAAAACAAGTTCTAGACATTCTCTTTTGTGTCTTACATGGTGTAATCAAAAATATGGTGAATGCTGTTGCTAAATGCTATGCAATGAAAAAGCAGGTTCATAAAAACATTATAGGATGTTCTCATCTACCTTATTCACCAGTATGGTACCAAGTGACTTCTAGCTTTTCCCCAAAGTCAAAATGACCATGAGAGGTAAAAATTTTGAATTGAAGCAGCTACAAAATCACAAGTAAAAACACAAAAGAGGACTTCCATACCTGCTTCAGAAAGTGGCAAGAATGAAGGGATAAGTGTGTATGAAATGAAGGAGAGTATTTGAGGGAGTTTGATGGCAATGTGTCTTTTACAGTAATAATTTTTTTTTTAATTTCACTGTATTTTTCAATCAAACCTCATGTAGTAAGCCTCTCCGCTGACCTAGGCAAATCTTCCTCTGGAGCATGAACTTGAGAAGTTTTCTTTTCTACCTTCCTATCTCATAAATACAAATATAACTTAATAATTAGCTGCTAGAATACTCTATCCCCATTCTAGTTAACTTTTACTTTACTCATTTTTGGTGTTTAGGTAAACACACTTAGGAAACACACACACAATTTTAACTCAAAAAATTATTGTCTAACTTTCCTATCTACACAATACCACCTCTGCAATGTCATCTGCACTGGTGAAGGAAAAGCTGTGGCCGGCTAGTTGATAGGCCTGCATCTCGATTGCATCCAGTTTGGCTTGCATGATGTGTTTCTGGCTTTCACACTCTGCAGTACTAAAGCCAATTCCATTTAGTTCTAGCAAGGCCAAGCAGTACTGAGAAGGCATTTCCACTTTGTAGAAAATATCTGAAAGAAAACAACAACAATAAAATGTTAGTTCACCGCATGACCTAATTGCTCTGGGACAATCCAGAGATGCTTCCCAAGCTGTCCTTCAGGATCCAGTCTCCTGAGAAGATACTCAAAGCAGAAAGGAAAGGTGTCAAGGCCAGGTCACTTAAGAACTACACTACTGTGCTTGTCTATAGAGTAGAAGAGCTGGCAATCTTGTGAAGAGTCTGGATTATAAGATATTACTTTTCTTCCAAGATCATGTTTCTGCTTCTTCTCTCAGAAGGAGCAAGGTAGCCCACCTTATTTGCTGAGCAAACTACAAACAGTTAATTCTCTTAAATTATTTCCAATATTTCTGATCCTATAGTATACATGTTTGAATGAAGAACCAAATATGGATGTTTTATATTTTCCAGTGCTCTTACCAAAGAGTAAAGAAATTCCCAAAATAAAAATCAATATTTTTATATTTGATGATATTTCTCAACAGAGCAGTTTCCCAGTGCCTTCACTGGAATATTTTGTTTGTTTGTTTGTTTTGGTACCGGGATCAAACTTGGGTCCTTGCGCTTGACCACTGAGCTAAATCCCCAGTCCCCTTCACTGGAAGATTAATTCCAAAGATGCTTTATAAAAAGAATGGAATTGAGAGGCACTGCATGAGTATCAACATCTATATACTGTTTTTTGATATTTATAATGACTATTAGTATATTAAAGGCTCAGAGAAGACTTGAAAACTACTTTAACTAAAAGTTCCAAAACTATCCATAAAACCCTTTAGTACAGAACTTGTTGATGGCCTGAAAAGTAAACATCCATAGAATGTACTATGGGAAATATTGTCTTTAATCATTAAGAAAAAAATCTATACCAAAGACTTCAGCTTCCAATAGAATGAGTCATCAAGACTTGGAGCAACTCTGGTCTGTCCTGCCCAGCCCTTCACATACACATTTGTTGAGTCATTGCTGGCTTAATCAGCAGGAGAGATCTCCAGACACACCCATAACTATCATCAAAGGCAAAAAAAGAAATGACAGATACTGACCTCTACTACTAGGCAATCAGAGACTGGCTTTAGAGGCCCAGAGCCAGAGCAGACATTCATGTCTTGTAGGATGAGTAAAATAAAGAAGTTCAGGCTGTACAGAAGCAGTCAGAGAAGCACAGAGTAAGAGTGACAGGAAGCTAGCCTGGATCCATAGGCAGCAGGAAGGAGCAGGGCAGTAATGATCAAAGGTTAAGGAGACACAGATCTCTGAAATAACAACAGGAGAAAGGACTGAGTCCTCAGCTCCAGTTCTGAAACAAAACGCTCAGAAAAGGCTAATATGGTACTTGGATGTGTTATAACTTGGTAACCAGCAGAGGCAGGAGCAAAACCTTTCTAGAGAAAGACTTCCCTCAAATTAGTCCTGCAAGGCTCCACTGATTAAATCCTGTACAAATCCACAAAAATACAAAATATACAAGTCAGTAGAGAAGTATGAATGGAGCACAGAAGAAACAATCAACAACAGATTTAGATCCTGAGAACTGCAAATATGTATACCTTAGAATAAAGCACAGCTATGAATAAACCATTTACAAATATAAGTGAACAGAAACAAAGTAAAACAGTAGGAAAATAGAGTACAGTGAATAAATGCACACTAATAATCAAAATTATTGCCAAATTTGTAAAAAATGGTAAGTTTAAAAAATAAATATGCTATATTTTGCAAGACATATAAAGCCCTAGGAAGGTTAAATGGCATATAAAAAAAGATACGTGAGACAACTAATAACCAAAAGAAAGCCACTGTTGCCACATTTGTGTGGGACTGCATAACCTTTGTTCCTTTTTCTCCAGCCCCATTGTGATTAAAATGTGAGTTAATGGATGGAGATGCTTGTTAGTCTAGGGACGCTAGATAGGGATCTGTAACGACCTAGAGTCCCAGAGTAAACTACTCAACTCTTTGTTTACCCGAAACCGATATTCCAGGCACCACAATTGTTAGAACTAGCTGCAGACGTCTGCTGACCATCAATATGTGACAGTCGACCACTAACCTTTGTCCCCTTTTCTTTAATATGTTAACTTCCCCCTCAACCCCCTATAAAAACAGCCTCGGATTCTGAGCCAGTTGCCTCTCTAAGCTATTTTGCTTTGGGAGTGCTGTCTGGCCAGACTAATAAAGGTCTGTTTTCCAACTTGTCCGGTGTGTTCCTTCCCAGGTGTTCTTCCCTGTAGTCAGCTCCTTGGAGCGTTTGGTAAGGCTCTTGGTCTTACATTCTGAAGGCACCGCTGGGATTCCTGGGTGTGCTTCACTAGTCAACTCCTCGGAGCGTTTGGTAAGGCCCTCGGTCTTACATTTGTATCAGAAAATAGACTAAAAATAAAAATCATTATTTAGTGATAGAGATGGCCACAACATGACCAGGAAAATAAATCTATTTAAAACATGTACATAGGGGCCGGGGATTTAGTTCAGTGGTGCCGCCACCTGCCTCGCAAGCAAAAGGTCCCAAATTTGATCCCTGGTACCAAAAAAAAAAAAAAAAAATGTACGTAGCTAAAAAATGGTCTCAAAATATATAAAGTTAAAATTGACTGAACTACAGGGAAAGTTAGATATAGAAGGTTTAAACAACAGTCTTAACAGGCAATAATATATTCTGCACCCAGAGTTGAAGTAGTTTCTTTCTGTACGTATAGAACATTTTCACAACAGTTTAGAATGTAGGTCACAAAGAAATTCTTCAAACATTTCAAAAAATGGGTAGTATACAACCCTATATCCTAACCACAACACAATTACAGTAAATTGAAGACAATACAAAATAGTTTCCATCTATTTGAAAAGTAAAAAGCATTTTCTAGATAATTCTGTCACATGTCCAAAAACATCATAACAGAAACTTGAAATATTTAGAATGTAATGATGAAAACATTATACATCAGGACTTGTAAGACACAATGAAAGTAGTGCTTTCAGGGAAATTCATAATCTTAACTACTTAAATTAGGAAAGAAAAGAACAGATAGGAATTTCAGGTCAAACTTGAAATTAAGATTGCAAAATAAAGTCAAGTGAACTAGAAGAAAAGAATATATGTATATGAAATCAAGGGAAAAAACAAAAACAGTAAGAAATATCAAAGGCAAATTCTAGTTCTTTGAAAAGACTGAAAAAGTAGAAACAATTCTAGTGAAATTAAATAATAAATAATATGAAAGAAAAAATAAAGTGGAGATAGAAAAAAATATATAATTAATAAAAGATGCAATACCAATATTTTTATGCCAAAAAATTAGAAAATTTAAATAATTCTTAAAATATATGTAGCTCACCAAAATATAACAAAAGATAAATAATCCTACAGTTACTTATTTTAAAAAATCGAAGTTGTACTTAGTATCTTTCCACAAAGAAACAGTTTATAGGCAAATTCTACCAAAATTTCAATGACCAAATAATTTCAATGAAAGATAAACTCCTCCAGAATAAAAAAAATACTATTATATTCACATTGCATGAAACTAGAATAGCTATGTTACCCAAAACAAAGATAGCAAAAGAAAGGAAAATTATAATCATTTTACAAACAATGAATTGGCAAAGCTGAGACAATATGAATCTGCATATCACTATTACACTTTGCTACTTAGAAAATAGTTATACAACCACTCCAGATCCCAGGCTAGCATAATCTTGAAATGGGGACTATTCCTGTGCCAAGACAGAGCAATGCCACACTCAAGAGAAACTAGTTCACAAATCCCAGGAGACATACACACATTCAAGAATATTCATATAGAACTATTATATAGAAAACAGTAGCTTGCAGAGGAATCAAAGTGAAAGGATGTTATCCGGGAACTTCCTGTTATCCAGGAAGGAACTGACAAAAGAAGGGGAAAAACCGGATTAAATGACACAAAAGAAATAGAAAACATTTCAGAAGAGAGAAGGGACCTGTCACAGTGTGTGACCATGGCAGTGATGAATGATTCTTTGGAGACAAGACTTAGTTCAATCACCAAGAGGGCCAGAGGGGCTATTCAACCGAGGGGACCCAGAGTTAGGGAGACTCCCAGGAGTAGCACCAAAGCCAAAAGCTCTTAGGCTTTTATTTAGAATATCAACATAAGAAAATAAAAGAGAAGAAAAGCAGTTTGGGCAAGAAGCTTTTCCAAGGCTAGGCAATTTTCTTGGGGAAAGAAGGACAACAGCCAGACATAACACACCTCTCTAATCTAAACTTACTTGTTTAACTGTTGTTCCTTGGCCAAGTCCCCCACAGGACCCTCTGCAAGCTGTGCAGGGCACAGAGCAACTGGCCAGCCTTCATCTGGGAGACAAAGTGAAACTAAAAACTTTTCACTCTTGGAGAACGTACTGAGACAGAGAAAATCAGCGGCAGTTGGAACCTGCAAGGAAGATGTGGGATACTGCTTCCAGAGTGGCTTCCACAGTCAACTGTTGGTGAGTTACCTCAGTCCAGTGCCTGCCACCACAATTGTGGAACAGAACTGGCAGAGACACCATTGCAGGGAAGAGCTCAGTGTTTGAACCTGGTCCCAGAGCAGTCCATTGGCTCCAAGCCACAATCCATACTGTCAAGTTCCCAGCCATGGGAGAGAGGAGCAGTTGGAGAGCAGGCTGGAGTCCCAGATCCTGCAGTGGGAAGCCAGGTTCAGCCTGAGATACACAGGATTGGAACCCCTCATTGTCGCTGTGTTCCCACTGTATGCAGATGTCTGCACCCAGCACTGTTCTGGAGGCAGACTGCCCTTTAGACTTCCAGCAGGAGCAGGGACATGTCTTGACTTGAGCTCTGCTCCTTATTCCTGGGCTGTGGAAAAGAACCATGCATCTAAAACAATAGAAAACTTTCATTTTTTAAAAAAATTTTTTGCTGATTATCTCTTTCTTTTCATTCTCCCCCTTGTTCCATCATTTCCCCTTTTTCTTTTATGCATGTGTATTTGTGTATGTGTGCACACAAACATGAGTGTGTGTGTGTGTGTGTGTGTTTCTCTTTCTCTTGCCTTTTTCTTCCAATATAGTTTATAGAGGGTAAGGGAATTCTCCCTTGTCCCTTTTTGTTCCTTCTACTTTTACCCGTATCTTTTCACCTGACTTCTTTCTCCAGTTTCTTATCCTTTCTTGTTTTTCTTTTCTTTCTTCTCCCCCTTTTGTCTCTCTTTAACTTTTTCTGTAATATTTGTATTAGTCATAGAATCGTTTCTCATCTCCATTTCTCACTACCAATTTTGTACCCACTTTTCCCTGTTATCCCCATCTAAATATATAACATACCTCTACCACCATGAGGATCTTTCTTTCACCTCCCTCCTATTTCCTCCTTCCCATTCTTTCCTTTACTCACCTCTGTCATTACCTGATCCCCAACACCCTGGGCTTTAGATAACTGATTCTATAAAATTACTGTTGAATGCTTTTTAAATTTGTTTATCATTAGAGGACACATAGCTATTGCATTCAGTGTATATTAGCTGTGGATCAATACATGGGCTGTTATGCTGACATGGATTTCTTCTCTAGGCTAAAGGGAGATCCAAAACTGGGTCTCATAGTATGTTCTCAACTTGCCCTGATAGACAGCATTGTAACTGATTAGCTTGTTACTACCATAGCTGATTTGATTGCATAGGAATACTCCTGACTCAGTGGACAACTTTGTCCCAGTGAATCTGTCTGCTGATTCCTCCATCACACCAAAGAAAAGGGACAGGAAGAGTTCCTAATCCAAGGACTTGGAGTGGATCAGAATCAGAAAGAATGATTGCAATCGGCAGACATACAGGATAAAGAAAATGTGGTAAATATACATAATGGAATACTACTACTATAAAGAATGACAAATTTGAGACATGTGTAGGAAAATGGATGCACCTGAAAAATATAATGTTGAGTGAAATAAACCAGGCACACAAACTTAAATACCATATAGTATGTCTCAACTGAGTGAGGCAAAGTACTAAGAGGATAAGAAAAGATTGATAGAAGGGGACAAGGAGATGGATCTCTAGGGAAGTAAGTGGCAGAGAACAAGGAAAAGGGCTGAGGAGAGGATGGGGAAATAAGTAGAATAAAGATACTCCATGTACAGGAACCTAATAACCTCAATGAGTGTAAACATTATATGCCATAACATGAGCTAAGATTAATAATATCAATAAGACTGAATATCAGGATGAGGGGAATAGAGGAGGGGGGAAGGAAGGGGAAGGGGATTAAAAGAAAGAAGCTGTAGTATATATGTAGTACATACATGTATCCACTCCCCCAAGATGACTATAAACTGCATGTAATGCATACATGTACTAATGAAATTTTTAAAAGTTAAAAAAAAAAAATAGCTGGCCATGATAACACACACCTGAATCCCGGCACTTGGGAGGGTGAAGCAGGAAGATCACCATGAGTTTGATGCCAGCCTGGTCTACAGAGTGAGTTCAAGACAAGCCTGAGCTACATAGTGAGACCCTGTCTCAAAAAACAAATGAACAAACTGTAACATATCTTGGGCTGAACCTTGCCAAGAAGTACAATAAACTTGAAAATTTTTTTTAAATAAACAAAACTTGTACTGTAAACATGTACCAATAAAAATTTTAAAAAATATGCTTATAAAATCCTACGTAAAATATTAT